TATGATGATTCGTACTCGCCGTGATACAGCCGCAAAATCTTGACGACTCGAACATAATGGCCGGTATTCATATCCCATGTTTAGTGCTTATACGACAGTTTGATCGTTGGCGTGAAATCGATTTATACATGATCTTCGTACAAAACAAATAACACACTGGCTCAGACGGCCATAAGTATTTAATGCTCATTGCGGTGTACGGATACGAATGAATGCGTTCATTAAGCCTCTTCACGTGAAATGAACTTTGCGAGAGTTTTTTTAAATATGCAGGGTGAACGTTCATTTATCTTTATATATTCATGTATTTTTATCGTAACACATATATAACAAATATTCCATTGAAATATTAGATGAAAAGCGGTGAATTCATTTTGTTTTTTTGCATTTTCAATATATGTGGATAATTTTAATTTCGCACTTATATGCTTGACATTCGCTCACAGGGAAAAGGGTCTACTGATATATCTTTTTATCATTATCATACATTCGTTGAAGTCGTCGAATTGAGTCCAATCAGAGGTAATATTTTGTATTTGATGAAAGGCTGATGCCCGACAATCAGCCTTTGTCGAATTTGCTGTTCATTTTACAAAATATCTTATGTATTTTTTCTTTTTTTTTTTTAACAATAAAGTATATAGAGGCTTCGAGAATGCATGCAGTGTCGAGCGACGCAGCAAAAATATTTCCTCGCGATTCATCATTTTTAATTGTCGTCACCTTGATTCGCCGTACATGTGACGTCAACTGCGTGAAAGAGAAACGATCGCGCGAAATCACAGAGAATAGAATCGAAAGAGTAATGGTCAGTAAAATTACACGTAATCAAATATACGACTGAAATAACATTATACCCCATTAGCGTTCTCGTTGCATAATGATTATGTCATATCATAATCATATAATATAATTGTATAAATGTAAAATTATGTAATATAATTCTTTTAATATATGTATACACATATATATTTTCCTTGCGCATAATAATTTCTTCCCAGTCGCTGTGAAAACAGAAAAGACAACGAGTGATATTGAGTCACTCTTATGCAACGTTTTTCACGTTACAATCGTAAATGTTCGTTAGCCACGACGTTGGCCATTCTTACGCGAGAAAATATACCTCGAGACTTTTAGAGCCCGGCGCGTATTGTCGCAATGCGTAAAGTGCGTGCTTTACGAAATTGTCGTCACTTGCATCGCGCTTCTCGTGCTCGTGAAGCACCATTGATAAGATCTCGTGAATTGGACCTACGAATCTGTAGCGGCGGAAATTTGCATAAGTACATAGGTTGCGCATTCGGCATCGCGAACGAGAAAAAGAGTGGCGCACGGCTAAGAGATCGCATGCGCTCCGTCGCGCGCATACGCGCATTATGCAACGGTGCTTCTTTTCCGGCGTAATTGCGCGTTTTAAATTCATAAATATTAATGAGGATCCCGCGGAGATACTCGTCTAGACGAGTATCCCGCTCCAAATTGTTGCCTCGGGCGGAGGATCTTCTTCGCGCAAAAAGTAGAAAAGAGGAGAAGCCGAGAAATGGGTATATCGTGGACAAAGGACGGATTCACTAATCCGGCGATTAGCATTACGTGTCACGGATAACGTCCGTCTGATCGCATTCGAGCTGTTGATGCATCTGATGCAACGTTATCGCGTTCGGGAATTGTCAGTAATTGTGCATACGTGTTAGACGGTGACGTAGAAACAAATCGTTCGATATCTTATTTATTATTTGTAGTATTTCGTTAATATCATATTATATCGTTAATATCGTTAATCTCATTTTGAAGTGATAGTTATTCTTGTTGAAAAATCGATGCGTCCTGACATAACACATTGCGGAGCGACCTGCGAACCAAAGCTGAGGCTGAAATTTGTTGTCACTCATTGATACCGTTTCTTTATTGAATTAGTCATTAGATCGCGAAACGACCGCCGATAACGCAACGGGCGTGTTATATTGATTTGACACGTATTGTTGCGAAGAAACGTGTGCGATAAACGCATGCCGATCGTGATTTTCTCTGGTGACACGTTTTGTCCGTCCTCTGTCATCGCTCTATATTTTTGTGCGCTCTCTATCTATTTTATGACGCTATTCGTTGTGACATATTTATAGCTCTTTGAACGTCGAAATACATCAATTTACTATTTTATATCAAAACAATCTGTCTGTGTAATATTTCAACGATAGCTATCTCGTGAGTCTTGCAATATTATTTTTTATATACATATTGTTGTTATTTTACTAGTTGAATGTAAATAATAGGATTTTATTTATTTTATTTTTATTTACAATTGGTATGCATGGTGGGTTTTCGCGCACAATAACAATGGAAAGAGTTCATTACCTCGTTCGTTCCTCCTCTCTACGGTATGCTACCTTACCGACTATTCTCTCGCGTTTTCTCTCTTCTCGTATCCTCTTCGTTTATCGACAGTAGGGGTACTTGATGTTTCCTGCGCCTGAAGAACTGTGTCACCGGCACAATTGCATATACAGAGTGTTCAAAGATAGTATGCTGGGATTTAGGAAAACCTTGTTGACTGTGTGTGTGTACACAGTAAAAAAATCGTGCAATCTACATTTTTGTGAGGTTTATTATTTTAATTAAATATATTATAATAGAGCTCTCTCTCATTGCTTCAAGTTTTTATCCACTTTAGGCTTTGAAGCAGATTCAAACAAATGACGATAATGCATAATACATTGTGATAATGTATAATAAATTGTGATGCAATGATATATTGATCAGTGCAGATATGTACCTATGGCAATGTTGTTTTGTAGTTCAAACGATGGAATATGTATAATTCAAATCTCCGTGGCCTCGATATTCTGTTGTTGAATTTTTTCTCACTGTTGGCCTAACATGCTGCAGGTCCGATATCGAGACCCAGCTGCATTCTTGACGTTTCTTGCGCAAGCAGTCGTTCACCTTGCGACTCCAATACGCGGTACTTCATCCGTTTCGATAAATTATGATCGCGCGGCCAACATTTCGCTTGTTCGGGAGAAAAACGAACGAAATAAATATGACCGAAACGGATTTGAGAACGAGGTGAGTCGTTGTGAAGAGATTCGTCATGGGAGAAGCGAAAGTCGAAGGGCGTAAAGGTTGAACAGCGGGGGATCGAAAGAACGCTCTCGATCGATGTACGCTTGATCAGAGTCGGAACAAAAAAGAAATTCTTCTGGTATTGGAAGGAGAAGGTCTTCGGAGATCGAAAGGTCGTCCGGGAAATATCTTAAGTCTCCCGTCGATTCTCCTAGTTGCGAATACACTATTCTATTTAATTTGTGATCTACATCGTGGTCGGTTCTGTTTGTTGTGCGATAAGGGGTTACGATACGAGGATGATTCATGCGAAAACTTCATCTCACATAAATCAAGCAAGATATCTACTGTATGTGTGTGTATGTGACTCTCGAGAACTTTGAGTTTCCAATTATTTTCTTGATAGGAGCGAACATAGTGAGAAATCACAAGTAATTGTTATATACTGCAAAAATTTACCCATTATAACAAGTCTGGCTTTCCTTTCGCGTTTAGACGAATATGATTTTCCGCGAGAATAATCACGATCGTAGAGAATACGCGCTCATAAATCAGAAATAAATCTCGTTGTTCTATAGGATCGCGATAATACGAGCTCTGCCTTCGCAGTAATTCCCTGTTCGCACGCAAGGTGCTTTAATTAAAATTCCATTTGCTTGTTTGGCTAATAGGAATTTTTCATTGGCCCAGGTGTTCCTAGATCACGGCGACGGTCTTTTGAGTGTGTGTGTGTGTGTATGTGGGTTGCATATAATTCCAGACATGTGTACATTATTTCATTTCAGCACCGAGCAAACAATTCGTGCTAAAAGAATGCTATTTATATATTATACGTTGAAGCTGTATATGCTACAGTGAGATTATTGCATGTATATTGTAGAAACTCATTTCCCGATGAGGACGAAAACTAGCTGCTCGTAATACATTCATCAAGATAACATCGTTCTGATTATAATTATAACTGGTACACAGAGAAGAGTTGCTGAAATCGTATCAATTCGCTAATCCACGTATCTCATCAATTTATTATTATTGAATATGAACATCTGACGGTAAAAATAAAAATTTCAAATTATATATCTTATTTTGTGTGTGTAACTACAATATTTAAAAAATCAGGTACAATTAGAAAACTGATAAGATTTCAGCAACTCTTCCCTGTATCACTACTTACATCGTGTTAAGAAAATAAAAGTTATATATTTTTTAAACTGCTAAAAATGATTGGGGGCTGTACTAAGTAAAATAGTTCTGTTGTTCTGAGTAGTTTTGTGTTGCTTAACTCAAATCTAAGAGAGCAGTTAACACAGCAATATCTTTTTCATCTAAAGATCAAAGTTCCAATATTGACGTTCTAATATTTGGTGATACGTGTGTTTGAAGAAGCGATCCACTGATTGTTTGCGAGCAGTATGTGCTCGTATAATATTAAGAGAATCGGAATGTCAAGCTTCTTCTAGCACATAACACAACGAATTAAAGCGCGTTATAAACGCGTCAAGTGAAGTCCTCTATAGATATAATACGTACATGTTATGTGCTACTATTATATCGTCTATTCAAATAATACAATCAGATAGACGATGGCAATCAATATTTTATCTAGTTTACGGCACCTTCCTATTCCAGGTCTTCCGAAAGCGTTGACGCAACTATCGGCAATTGAGAATCACTGCGGTTCCCCACCGATACGCTGATGTGTCATACGTAAATACATACGTACCTGTAACTCGTTATCAGCGTTAACACGCAACTCGCTCACAATCGAGTCTTCGGTCGCTTAAGAGAGAAAGAGAGAGAGATAGAACTCACGGAGGCTTCGTCTCTCTGCTCTCGCGTTTCTGGCCAGTTCTCGCGTCCATTCTCCCTCTCTCTTATTCTCTCTCTCTCTCTCTCTCTCTCTCTCTGCTCATTATTCCCTACTCCTGTCTCACTCTTTCTCACGTTCTTAGTCCCCCACCGTACCCTCTTTCTCGTACTCTACGTACATTGTACGAACAACTCGTCGTCAGTCAGTACAGAGACATCGTTGCCGGCGCCTCGTCCGTCTCACTCCCTCTTTTTCTCCTCTCTCTTCTTTCTTCTGCTTCTGTCATTCGCCTCTCTCTTTCTCCCTCCCTTCATCTCTCATCCTTGCGCCCTCTCCTTTCTAACTTCATTTGGTTTTTCTTCCCTCATTAACCGTGCCGCGTTATCACTTTTACCAGGACTAGCTGCAAGTCTGCTCCGGGCTATCATACAAACGTCCTTATCCGCGCGCGTTCTGAATCCTTCATTCTTCCTGCGCGATGAAGAAAATGCCGCGAAAAATCGCACTCCGTACGTTACGATGTGACAGTGACGATGACGGTGAGGGTGTGTTCGCGTTCAAGGTGTGACAACGATAAGAGACCCCCCGCGTTTGTGATAAGCTGCTGAACCATCGCGCAGGATAGCAGCTTGCCGGCAAAGCGACGCTCTTCCAGCTTCTCTGTTGCGGCTTCCTTGAGAGCCGTGTGCACTCGGTAATGGGCTTGGAAATGCATGTATGTACCCGGCCGGTCGGCTCTTTTGGCAAAACTTGCATTCGCGAAAGTCGCGTTTCGCCCGTTTGCCATTTCCTCGCGGCATGAACTTACGCGGAACTCTCTTCATCTTTTATTCCCGCTGTTTGTTTCGCCTTTCGACGCGTCGAACTGATTTCGGAATAAGTCCCGAGGAGTGCAGCGCGGCATGCACAAATATTGTTACACTCGGCAAAATCCCGTCGCTTTTCGCGAAGTCGTGCGGTTCCCGACGCGTGCACGCACGAGCAACTGTCGCGCGTACGACGAATGTCAAATCGCGAGCGGACAAAGGGCCTGTATGCTCGCGCTCTTTGCAGCCTGCGAATCACGCAAGCCTCTGTAAATCGCGCCCGTTCTTATCTCACTTCTGCCGCGCGCTTTCGTATCGAGCGTATCGACGCGATATCGTCGATCTCGCAGCTGCGGCGAGACAGCGCAAGGCAAGCGTGATTCTCTAACGATATTGCTAGAATTATCGCGCCCACGCGATATTGAACGTTTATTGCCAACGAAATCTCGTGGCGACGTGACGGCATCGTCAATGGCGATTAAATTTAGGCATGATCGACGCAAGCACGAACGACGAGCGACAACGCCGCGTACGACCACATGGACACCGTTCATTATCATATTAGCAGGAATTGAGCGACGCTCGTTAACGCATCAAACGTTCGCGCTAACAGATTTGTCGACTTTCGAATTCAGTACATACATGTACACACATACACACACATATACAGACCAATCTGATCGCCTGTCTGTTTTGTTCTCCTCTTGCTCCATGAAAGCTCCATGAAAGCTCCCAAAGTATCGCGGAAATTAATTTGCTTTTTGTCGTTCCCCCGTGAGACCGGTTTGACTGAGTCGCCCCTTTCTTGCGGAGATCGATTTTAATTGGTTTTATATAATTGCTAAGTCCCTTTAGCCGGAAATATCTCGCACAGTGGTATTAGATATTTTCGATATCTTGCAACGGTAAGATGCTCGCGCGTTCATGGAGTATAATTCATATTCATAGAATATCACGCCATGTAGGCCGAACTTATCGTCGCGGAAACTTCGAGACTGTCTGTCTGTGCTCAAAGGAACCGACGTGCCCCCGATGGTTATCTACAGGCAGTCGCTCTTTACGTTAGTACACGAGAGCGCAATGCACTTACGCGTCCGTCCTCTCTCCGCGAGCTTGTTATCTCAGTGCAAATCGAGACACGCGATACAGTAGATCGCCGGGAAGGGGACGAAAAAAAAGATTAATAAATGTAAAATTGCGGCGAGCCGCTCAGTGTCGGGGAAATTATTAAACGCCGCGCAGGGGGGCACCGCAAATCGCCGTCGAGCTGCATTCAACGCGGAAGGAAGCAAACCGGTTTGATGCGCCTTCTTAGCGCGCGCCTTTTTATAAAGTAAACGTACGCGCCCGTGTCGATACCGATATCTCGCGCGCTTCCGGTGAGTATCGGGCGAACAATTAATGGATGATTAGACTGGTTGTACGGGTGGCGATGTAGGCGCGCGCCTCGTTTTGTTTAGATAAAATCGCATCCGCGATGTAATCGCGCGTTCGTTGCTCGCCATCGGACAGAAGCGAGGACTGCGCTATGCACATTTGTTCCTGTAAATACGAGTACAACGTGCGATTCCCGTAAATACAAGTACGGACAATGCGCGGCACATGAATAGGACGGTCAGAAAAGTCTTGGCAGAGGAACAATGGTCGGTATTAGCAATTGTTCCCTTCTGGCGAAATCTCTTATTTACTCTTTTATTTATGTTATTTTTACACTTATTCGATTTCCTTTGATGAAACCTCCATTCCTTTATTCTCCTTTATCCTGATAATTTTAAGTGTCTACGTAGGTTCTTATATTTTTTTCAATCTACTTTTTCTTTAGTAATTTTCTCTCTTCTCTTTCTCTCTTTATCTCGATGTGAAGATAATTTATAAGCACGCGCGTCATGATTTTAACCAAGTGCCCGCGAATTGTCGTCTCGTAGAACGACCCGGGAATTGCTGAATTGATTTCCAAGTGTCGCCGGAGGATCGGTACTTCCGCGCTTAACAGAGATTACCTTGTAAGTGCCGGAAGTGACCCGCGGACGCACTCGATGCACCGTCTGCATCTTGTGAACCGACGGTCGGCAAACTCTAAAGGAACACCCCCGCGTTGCTCCGTTACGATGCTATCTAATGACGATAATGAGATAACGAGAACCGCGATAATTAAGCGAGAGTGACGGTGCGTCGCGTCGGACAAGGCACGTCAGTCAATTATCAGCTTTGTTCTTCGGTTCCGTTTATTTCTGTTTCCATCGAGGCCGGCTGTCACATGGCCATCGCCAACTCGCCGTTCAAATTCCCCGCTGATGATCGTGAGACAGACAGGAAGGATGATGACGTTTCCGCATTATTATTCTCTCGTGTACTATTTGCCGTAGTTATTCACCAAACCGCCATCTTCAGTCTTTTTGCAGTCATTGCATCACAGATGCCTGCAGATATAAATTAATCTCCAGATAGACAATAAGTATAATTACGGCCACGTCGAAGTTGTTTGAAAAGTATTGCTATCTCTACGACTTTAACAAATCGCAATTTTATAGAGAGGTAAAATCAGACAAAAATATGTCGTACTGAGAAAAAATATTTAAGAATTTATTTGTGTGATACAAAAATTTGCAGAAAAAATAGATTTTACAGAAATAAACTTTATTTCGTAGAAATCAATTTTATATTTTACAAATAAATTTTAAAATATTCTTTCCTAGTGTGTAATTATTACGCACATTGGCAAAAAAGAATTTTCAAAAATTTATTCGTGGGATATAAAAGTTTATTTCTGAGGAACAAATTTTTTCCATGAAGCAAACTTTATATCCCACAAAAAATTCTCAATAACAAATTTTTTTCTCAGTGCAAGCACATATGAGACTTTTTATTATTTTATCATTTTACTATGTAAAGCGTAACACACAGCGGTGCCAGATGGGGAGTACGCTCTTGTAATTGCGTATCGCATGTATATTCCAGTATGCGAATTGTTTACGTAATCAGCGGCGATAGCGGATATTTCGCGAAATGACTATACCGTAAGTCAACACCGGTGTACTGGTTTCACTTGCGAATATTGCGTTTCTTCGACTGTCCCCTTCTCTGTTCGCCGTGTCGGTGGTCGCGCGTCGCTCGTAACTCGCGATTGGACGAATAATCCTGGTCAGTCGGTTGTAAACGTTTTCCCGGAAACGTCGGGGCAACGTGCCGGCGCAGTTAACAATGTTAAGTCTTACTCGTGCGCAACCTCGGGCGGGAACGTGCCGGTGCGCTCGCAGTGTCACGCGTTGCATCGGAATCAGATGCACCTGAGAGAGCGCACCGTGATAAGCGTTAACAATTCCCAGTCCTTCCTATAGCCGGACTTTTTATAGCGCGCTACGCCATGTTTTCTTTATCCCTTAAAAGCGCCAAGTTTCTCCGACGGCACGAGAAGAAATGCGAAAATTATCGGAGCGGAACGGAGCTCGCCACCTGAATTTTTCCGCCCTCCCTCCTAATTACTCACTTCGGTGGATTGTGATTAAAATTGATCAACGCTTACTGCCTTTCTTGCGGAGCTCTCTTAAGTAAGTCATTAGGATAGTGACGGTGCTTCTTTCGCCGGATAAGTCGCCGCAGGAGAGCGTTGCACTCTCGTTGCAAGCGTCGCAGTCGATCGTGCAGTACATCGTTGACGACGACAAAGGCGTGGCGATCGGATTTTATCGAGCGTCGTTCATCTTTGTCTAATTATCATTGAGCGGTTACACACGGTTACACGCATTACATAAAGCTGGTGGCACATAGAAAAACTTAAGCAGTAAAACGTAAGTAGTAAGCAAATTGACCAATCACAGTCATTGATTCTTCTTACGATCCAAGAATCAACGACTGTGATTGGTCAATTTGCCTACTGCTTACGTCTTACTGCTTAAGTTTTTCTATGTGCCACCAGCTTTACACGTGACACGTACAGTGGGTTGCACAACACGGTTTAAGTTACAACGAAGTTGGCTACTGAACTTCATCAAACTGTTAAAATTGAGAGTTATTAGGACTTCGTCATAAAGGACTTATTTAATAATATAATACAATTAATAATATAATTATATACAAGACCACTAAATAATGATAATACAAATAATAATTAATAATGATAATCATTAATAATATAATTATCAAGCTAGTCCGTCAGTAATGGCTTTCGATTTTGACAGTTTGGCAAGCTCCCAACTTCATTGTGTTCAAACTGTTCTCTACACAGCCGAATTCTTATCGAATTGGACTTAACAGCAAAGACGAAAACATCTCTTGCTCGACTGGTACTATTAATAGATAGTCTTTTTTGCAAAACATTGAAGGAAATTCGCTTTGGTACATATATCTTGCCGCAGTTCACACCGTAGTTCCGTTCATGTCCTACGACAATAAACATATTTCGGTCCTCCCTGCATCCGCTGCCTCGCACATCGACATCCATATCCATAACGCTCATTGCGAGGGGAAATACAAGCGGAAGAGAGGACATAACGGCATCGTGCGAGAAAAAGCGACGCGATACCGCGCGCTCGCGGCAGTACTCTTGTTTTAGACGCTTTGTAAGTTTCCGAACGAATTCGTTACGGTCGTTGCACTTTGCAACTTTACGCCGGCGCGCGTCCTCGGCGCTGCTTCTTCCGAGAGACGTTGACCGCGCGGAGGAGACTACGAAGGCGAGGACGAGATTTTCTGCCTCGATGTTTAGAATATATATACGTGTTTAGACTATTCCTGGGGGAGGGCCGGTTTGTTGGCGCACTCTCGCACGAACGCGTTCTGCTCGTGCCGGCACGTGCTCGCGAGCGTATACACGCGGCTGGCGCGCACATGGCCGCCTCCATCCATCCGTCCATCCGTCCGTCCGTCCGTCCGTACGTCTGTACATATGGTACGTGCACCACGTACTTGACCGGGTTAAGCAGTGGCGCGGCTGCCCAGCCCGATGGACTAATGGGAAAATTTCAGGCGACTGCTCAGACACTTATCTAGTTATCTCGAGTTCATCACGTGTCACCTCTCGGCATACGTCTCCGTGAGCTCCACAGCGTTCGGGAGCTCTCGCGTATACTGAATAATTATAGATAATAGCGTGACATTATACAGCGCGCATCTCAGACCCCTGCCATGTTTTTATTCTCTTCTTTTTTTTTTTTCTTTAATGCCAGATTCCACGGTCAAGTTGTTCGCCGTTGAAAGTATTTTCCAGTATCTTGCGTCTATGCCTGGTAATCCTTGTTTTTCTTGTAATTATTCCTTGGAATTTATTTACGCTTGAAACATGCATTCTCTCTTCTATGCTTGTCACTTGTTATTGTCGAACGTGTTAAGAAACGAGGAACACGGGGGAACTGTTCTAGGCGCCTTTAAAGGGTGAACGGCGCGCGACAAACCAGCATGGAATCAACGGAGGAAGTGCTCGGTAACAACGTTCCGGGCACAGATGCACGGCACAATCAGAACCCACTTAAGAGGAACGTGGAGGGATCGGATGCGGGAAACGTGCGGGTTTTGTCGGTCGACAAAGTCACCGTCGAGAAGATCGTTCTGGAATGTTCGAGCGGCTCGCGCGAGGTGTTATTGACAAAAAACGAGACTTCGAGAAAACTGTCCCTGAGCTCGGAGACAAAACCGAGTGTTGTCAAGCGGACAAAAGACGGCGGGGCACAGAGGTCGTCGGTAAACGGCAGATTTCGCGTCTCGGTACCAGGAGACGCGTTCACGTCGAAGCCAGGCGCCAGTTTTAGGAGCAACCTCTCCGCCAACCAATCGAAGCTTCCCATTCCCAGGTATCGAAAGAGCGACGATGCCAGCGTTCTTAATGAGGAGAACAGGATCAAGCCAATTCGGCTCACTAAAAGCCCGTCTATCGGCAGTATCGTAATTGAAGGTTTGAATTCGGACGCGATCGTTAAGAAGCATAAAGTGCCACCGAAGGTCCCGGAGAAGCCTGCGAACAAAAGAGACCATTATTCATCTTTGATAGCGAAATCGGTCTCTCCTGCTAAAATAGAATTGCGCGAGGATTTATCGCCGGATCGGGAAAAACTTGCCGACAAGATAGCGGCTGAAGTTAAACAGGGGCGACCGGTCGAACGAGCAGCTCCCGAGGCAGAAAATACCGGGAGCGATAAGGGATACGTCGACGATATAAATCCCGTTGAAATCAAGAGAGACAGCGAGTCGTCGAAGAGTGCAAACGAAGCCTGCAACGGGACAGACGAAATCAAACAGCGGGCGCACACGAAAAGCTTTGAAAACCGTGAAGAATGCACGAGCGTTGACAAAGACGCGCAGGACCGCTTGGAGAGAAGTCAGACTACTATCGAGGACCTCCAAAAGAATCTGAGTACCAGAATTCACGCCAGCACTGCGCAAAGCTACAAAGAGAAGCTGTTGGACGTTCAAGCCAATTACGCTTTGAGGCCGATTACTGTGGACACGAATTGTAGCGAGAGATTAAGCTGCGAGTTCGACAAGGATTTCCTCGAGAAACACAATCTGGAGAAACGACTTAAGATCGAAGAGAGACGACTGTTGGAAACTGATTTGGATTACACCTCGGACAACGACAGAAGCAGTGAGACCGAGGATCAAGCGTCACCTAAGGTTAACCCTAAGCGGATATACAGCGAGAAAGTGACGGAAGTGGAGAAACGATGGTCCGGAGAGTTCCTGGACAGTCAGCTGCAACGTAACTCCTCGGAGTCCTCGAGATCGTCTTATGTCGAGGAAATTGGCAGCGTGTCCTCGCGCGAGAGCATCGTTGAGGATCGCGACACCCGGCTGCTTTTCGACCGAAAGCGCTCGGTGAAGTTTGTGGAGGGGCAAACGTCGATCGATGAGTCGAAGACACGCACCTCGGAGGAGATTCTGGGAGACAGTACTGTGAGCACTATCGATTCCGACTCATGTTTAGAGGATAGAATCAAGGCTGTAGACGAAGATATCGCTCGGGCGTCAGGACACGGAGTCGAGACGGACGATAACGATGATATCGACGAGCCCGATCGTGTTTACGACGAGGACGAGGACGAAGAGTGCGCTCGATGGGACAAGCGAGTAGAGGAAGTCGACCAGACGGTCCTCACGACAACCGCGATAGTTCACGAGAACGGCAACTCGAGGCAAGGAAGCGTCAGCGACAGTGTTGGCGGTTCCAGCGATCCAAATTTGAATGAAGCGAGGAGCAGCGGGGATATCGAGACGACGGAACAAATATCGGAAATTACCGACAAGTTATTAATTGAAAGAGGAGAGAATAAGAGCTGTTCTTTTACGGTCAGCTCGGAGGAATCCACCGAGCCGATCTTGGTGACTCAAAGCCGTTGCGGGAAGGACGGTTACGCTAATCTCATAAAAGAATTCACAATGGAGACGGGATCGTCGAAGGCGAAGAAAGAAGAGAAGCAAAAAAAGAAGCTTGGATTTCGGCGTCTTTTGCCGGCCATTTTTTCGCCGAAGGACTCTCGGAAGGACTACAAAAAGAAAGAGCAAAAGGAACGTAAGAGATACGACGAGCGGCACTTCGCTCGTTACCAGCAGAATGGAAATTACACAAGGTCGCCGGACACAATGAACTTGAACGAGGATATCAAGAGGAACGTCAAACTAGACAACAGTCTGAATGGTTCCATCATCGAGGAGAGACTGGACGAAATCAAGCGCGAACTGTTCCCCGAGCAAGGACCGATCACCAGCACGCCCGACCACTTCTTACAGACGGACGACTCGAGGCTCCTTCGAGATCGAGCCAGACCGCAGAGATCCTACACCACGGACTCCAGTCTCAGCTCGATCGCGCCGGACGACAGATGGATGGATCGAAGCGGGCATCTCGGTATCTCTCCCGACGTCAGGAAGTACGAGCAAAGGCAGAGACGCGAGGAGCAAGACAGTCGACGGTACGGTCAGCTGGAACGCAAGCACAGTCTGCAAGAACCGAATCACAGCAGTCGCAATTACTACTTCCAGAGAAATCACGGGCCTTCCGGTCGTATTTCGGCACCGCCCAGCGAACGGTACTTGGTGCGGCCGCGGGCTATTCACCCGGTCGACAGGCCGTTGCCCGAGATCCCGCAGTCCCGAGTGGAGCTGTCGAATTATGAAAATTATCAGGACGGCGTTGAGCCGCTGTGCGACGGCCTCGGCTACCGTAAGGACAAGTACGCCGTCGATAACGTGGACTACCAGAATCAATCTGGACTTTATCAGAATGACAGAAGCGCCGAAACCGGCCTGATCCACATACCGCAGTCAGTTCCCGCACAAGTCAAAATCACCCGGCAGCCGATCGTGAACCAAACTCAGAGGGCGCCTTTAGTCGGGCGCCCCAAGTCGAGCCCCAAGTACCCGTCACCTGGTTCGAGCCAGAAGTCCGGCGATTACGCGGACTCCAGCTGCACCCCGAACTCGAGCCAGAAGAGCGAATTCTCGCCGTCCAGCTCGAAGAGCGGCGAGTATTACTTGCATTCACCTCGCAGCAGCGCGCGAACTTCGCCTGCCGAGCGACCTTTCGATGATGCGCGCGAGAGGATCTACGAGAATGAAGCTCAACCGGCGGTCTCTCAGCCGCCTGATCGCTACGAACACGTGTACGATGAAACTCCATCATCGCCGTGTCGCGAAGAGCATTCTATGGATTCTAAAGCAGCGAGCTGCGCGAAGAGCTCGCCCGAGAAAAGAACCGATCCTGTCTACGAGCAGAAGTGTTCTTCATCGAGTCAACGACCGCCCTCGAAGAGCTCTTGCCAGCAGTCTCTCGAAGATAAGGAAATTGCGCAAGTGGAGTCGAAACGGGAGACCGAAAAATTGCACGGAAACCACTCGAAAAATCCCGAAAATGTTGACATAAACTTGAAGAGCGAGTCATTAGTGCTCAGCCAAGCGGAGAGAACGTGCGTTCAGAACGTATCGCCGTCGAAGCCCGGAGTGACGTCGGCGACGTCTCCTGGATCAACGGGAGCCAGGGCGTTAGCCAGAAAATCGCAACCAAATGATCAAATTCTGATAGCCTCGCCGAAGAGGGAGATCATCTATCAGTCCCGGGTGTCTCGGCCGTTGAACGAAACCAGACTTTGTGACGCGGAATCGCCCGTCCCCATAGCGGACTCGCGCGAATGTGTTCCTGGCATCGTTCCAATCGAAGCGCGAGATCAGTACGGCAGCCAGGACTCCTCTATCTCAATGGCGAAATCTATGGGGCAGAGAGCTGTATCGTCTTCAGTCTTTTCCAAAGGTATCTCACGTCCTGAACCGATTTACGGACACCGCAAGCAGCAGAGTCCTCCAACGCGGGGCAACGCGGTGGTGACCTTGGAGGCGAAAGAAGGCAGACTCGAGAACGATCAATCGCCACGCGACTCACACAGACCAAGCGAATCGTGTCGCGATGTTGTCGAAAGAGTGGCCTGGGTCGAAGGGCAGACCCCGATACCGCGGAATCCGCAGCTGCGCAATCCGGAAACTAAACAAACGTCCAATGAACCTGGCAAATGTACGGCAACTCAATCACCGGTACGCGAGCCGCCGAATACGGCGCAGGATGTTTATCAACAACGACAACTCGGCGTTGTTCAGCAACGAGCTTCGTCCGCGACGTCAGCCTCATCGTCGGACGGACAACAGTCATCGCCGATGACGAACCTAGACAAAGTATACGTCGGCGCGAATCTGCTGCAGCGCGAGGCGATTTACGAGCAACGCCCGAGACAGCAGCAGCAGCAGCCGCGACTGATCCAAGAACCCGTGTACGTTCAACGACCGCAGCAACAACCGCGACAAAGTCAAGAGACGGTGTACGTTCCGCGCGGCCCTGACCCGACGTATGCTCAGCAATGCTACGCGAGCTGCGGACCCCTGTCGCCTTCGAAACGCGAGACTAGACAGCACTTGGAAGCGTTCTACTGGCAGCAGAAGGCGCTGGAGGCACAGCGGAAATCGGCCATCTCGCAGGCGGCGTCCGGCGCGAGACAGGTCGCGCCGAAGATTAACTTGCCGGAAGTGAGAGAGGCGGTTTGGCAGCAGCTGAAGAAACTGGACGAGGAGCAGCAGCGGCGGATCTACGAGCAGAATCTGCTGGACGACGGCTCGTACGAGACGTACTGCAGAACACGAACGGGAAGCCCCATGACGTTACCCCCCGCTACGAATCAGACTGCATTCAATCCCAACGCGGCGGCGCCCGTCGTTCAAGGAGACGGCTCTTGCTGGAGCAACGCGCAGCAGCGGCCCAAGATGAGTCCGACCGGCAAGCTGCCGTTGATGCACGTCCCGAAGGGTCAAAATCAACCGGTACTGATAGTCCGGCCGCAGCAGGCACTGCGGGATCGTCAGGAGATGTCGATCAAGTCCGTGCACTGTCGCGATCCCGTGGGACGCGACGCGCAAAGATCCAAAAGCGCCTCGCCGCACTTCCACAGAGGCGAGACTGAACGATCCAGTTTCAATGTGACGCGCACGAAGCCGCTCACGGACGCCAGCGCCGTAATCTCCCTGAGAAAGTCGGATGCCGGCGGAGCTCACGAGGAGGATAGCAACGACGGCGAAGGCAGACCTCGGCCGCATCCGATATTTAAGAGGGGTAGTCTCGTAGGAGGAGAATCGGTGGAATACGGAAGCACAGGACCCAAGAGGGTCAGTTTCTCAAATCAACCGAGCGCCGGACCGGATCTGGCCGCGGGCAGCTGGCCAACGAAGCATGGCACGGCACCTGAACCGCCGACTAGGCGACACAGGAGCGAGGACAGCACCTCGGACACCGACTCGGTGTTCCTGCATCAAGAGCGACGTGACGCGCATCAGGACGCCGTGTATGGTGCTCGCTGCGGAGCAGCTGCACCTGCGAGATATCGCGCCGACAGCGGTTGCTTGGAGCAGGACTACGACGCCAACAGGCCTCTGCCTCCGTTGCCGAAGGATTCCTTCGTGGTCTCCCGTCGTGATAACAGCGCCAGGAATTACGCGTACAACGACGTTCGATGGAGCAACGAGGAGCAACGTCGACGGCGACAAGGTGAGTGAGCTTTTATTTCACACTTTTATACAAAAGGTATTGAAATGGACGTTGTATCCCTGGGAAACTCTCAGGGAACAACTGGCGCTTAACGTTTTACACACAGATGCGCAACTTTTCTCGCGCGAATGGCGAGAGCGATATTCTGCAGAAACTCATAACGAGAGTCGATAAACAATTACTTCAACTCGAAGAACTCTTCAAGTAATAATCTCTTATTCTTATTGCGCATATATATCGCGCAAGAAGATCACGAATTGAACCGTAAATTCACGCCGTCAAGGCGGCAAAGATGTCGTTTACATTCATCATTTCACGCTAAATCAGTGAGAAATCGCGAGGGTACTACGGTCGCTTTTTCGGCGAATAATCCCGGTCGAAGGTGTCCTTTGCAGCTCGTAGCTCGGTCTAGACGAGATGCAAACCGCATGGCATGACGGCGTATGACCGTGCATTCGAATGAGCTTCTTAACGCGCGGAGGCGGCTGCGTCGCGTCGGAGCACGTTCGCGTACCTGGGGAAAGAAAGAGAAAGAGCAAAAAAAGGAGAGAGAGAGAGAGAGAGAGGCAGGGAGGGGGAGAGAGAAAGAGAAAGCGCAACGAACGAATGACGTCCTCGTAACTTCAGCCCTTTCGAAGCGGCGTAATGCGTGAAGGTGCGCTAAGACGACGGAGATCTTCTTATGTAGGCTTCCGTTCTCTCTGCAGACTGCTGTTACAAGCTGCAGGATCACCTTCGTGTATAAACATCCACGCGCAAACGCGCGAACTTTGATCTCGCGATTACGCGCTCGTGCGACGGCGTCGGCTTGCCCGCTTGTTTCTTTTGCCTGTTTATTCGCCTATTTAACCGACCTCTCGCCAAGTCGTTTGGCGCTGCACAAGCGCGCAGCACGCGAGGTAAACCAAAGATAACATCATTGGCTGACTGAATTTTGAGATTACCCGCGACGCGCCTCGTAGCCCGAAATTACGCGATCGCCGGCGTGTTTTGCGACAAGCACGTTCCTTGTCCTTAGCTTTTATTTTTACCGTCCGATCGTTCGATCGACTTACGTCGCTCGCCAGAGAGTCCGCGAATCGATATGTGTTCTATGGGTACCGTGTGTTACTCTATCTCAGGAAATCTCATTCGCTCAGAAACGTTGGAGATTTGTTGAATTGATGCCCCACTCTGTGAACCAATTAATTCAGCTTTAGGTATAAGTTGCGAAGAGTATAAAAATGAAAAGACAAATGCGCAAGAGAAAGATGGCCGTTCTGAATAGCTGCGGAGTAAGCGCGAAGATTCAAAAGCATTTAAAGGAAAAGCCGGGGGCGTATTTGTGTTAAAATGTAAGGAAGAAGAGTGAGAAACGTTTTACTACCACTCTCTCTACTAACCCTCCCTCCCTCCCCCCTCTCTCTCTCTCTCTCTCTCTCTCTCTCTCTCTCTGGAAGACCGGTACGTGTGCGCGCGCAAAGAATAACCGCGGTCTTTTCCTCTTAATTGTTTTTCTTCCCTCCTTATAAATGTTTCGACTTCAATGTTTGACGCACTCTTCGACGTCTGTCTGCACGAAAACGATATTATCCCGAATGCTAGTATTAGGTGGGTAGAACAACGCCCCTTAGGTGATGGACTCTCTCCTCGTAAGGCGAACAGAACAATCGCAATTAGCCGCTCTTTTAGACTGAAGTAAATAGGGTCACTGACATTACATCTCTCGGTAAAATGCTCGACCGATGCGTAAGATGTCGCTTGAGCGACCGATGCACTCTTCTTGCACCCACGCTCTTCCGGTCGTGAGACGCATCGGAGTCGCCTACACGGAAGAAGGCTTCGCGCAAGAGCATGTTCCCGATAATGATGTTGCATCACACGCGAGGCGCATAACGTCGCAATCAACGCCGGCTCACGGCAAATTACATCGGTTTTTTTACATCGAGTCGATGCGCAAAGTGTAACGCGCGATTAGTTGCAGTTTCGTGTGCACCGATAAAACGTCGAGCGAGCTTTGAGAAACGGCCATTGCTGCCCCGCGAAGGTATTTCGCAAACGAGAAAGAAGGAAGGAGCGTCGGAAATAAGAAAGCGCATAACGCTACAGAATACGAGATTTGACCGTCCGTTTGTTCCGACTCCAACCTCAAGTACCTTCATGGTTGTTCATGTAAAATCCACGACGTTGCCCTACTGCGCTGCATCAAAGTTGTATGATTTCGGGAGCATACTTACGGGTGAGAGAGGTGCGCGCGCACGCTCGCGACTCCAGGTACAACGTAGAAAATCTTGCTGCCTGACGAAGATATCCTCTTTGATTTCCAGCAGAATTTACGAGACAAGCTAAATCACATCGCTCTTAGGATTTCGTAAGCTTCGCCAGCTTTTACAAACGTGTAGGGAATTACAGTGATATCGCATTGTACAGGTGAAATATCATTTTAATGCGTATAAAAGTTTCCTTTGCGCTCGAATGGTCGCATAAATTTCTTTAACGTTCGTTCCAATCGCGTCAAGAACAGATTTTCGTTAAACATCGTTACGGAAGAACGGTCATTTATTTCGCAGTATTCCTTTTTTCGCACTTTCTGTATCGTAGCTACCGGGTATTTCACCCCATTATTATCCCGTAGCTCGTGAATCTCGTGAACAAAGATATAGTAGACGCTGTTAGATCGCCGGAATGTAACTGTATCGATTGCCCGATGAAGCAACTTCTGTATTTGCAGCATTGATAAATCCGAATCTTTACAACCGAGCGCGAACCGTCCGCGCTGCTCTCTTTTTGCGTAATCACCGTCTAGCCTGAGGAATCGGAGCTGACGATTGAGTTCTTCCATCGTCTCCTTTTGATCCAGGAGAGGCGCAGAGCTTTCCTCTTGCCCTTATTCGCGGCCCGCACACCTCTCGGCCGTTTCGCTAGATTTCCTCGTGGAAAAATGCGAAAAATCGAGGATCAAAGACGACGTACGAGAACATTAGCCATCCTTTAATGCCACTTGAAGGCCGAATTGGCGCGCGGGCGATTCCCGAGGACAAAAGAATTCCTGATAGGGGGAATAGTTTGCCGAATTTCCGCGCGCGCGTGGCGCAATATCTATGCAGATTAACCGACCCGCAGATGCAGATTTGAACGTTCGATGTTTGGAACTGAGAGTCGTGCCAACGCATTCCGCTCTCATAGGAAGATGGAAAGGAGCAGGAGGGGAGAGGAGGCAATGTGATCCTGGTTTTATCTGGCAGATCAATTTTATTCTTATTAACTGCGCCGCGCGTCCATTCGCGAATAATATCTGATTCTGCGCAACTAATTGACTTTTATTGCGCACACGCTTTGAAATTGATATGTGTGCCGGCGGTATTGTGCATGCGGAATCGTAGTCGAGAGAAGGACTATTGACAGATTGAATTAACATGTTACGTTCGTCGCGAAAGTAGTGGCAATGGAAACAACCACTGCCATAAGCCGATTTCTTTTTTTTTCGACGGATTATTGGCACTTTCCGCGCGATCTGACGCGAAAATTCATGACGCAGTTGTTACCCGGCGAAATTCGACAGTTAGATTTCAATGTATAGACTGTCCTGCAACTGTTGGTACACTCGGCAGAATGGCTATTTTGCATGAAAAGAGGAAAGAAATACGGCTGCGAATGCAAAGCAAACTCTACTGCCGCGCGCGAAAATCGCCTCGGGAAATTGGAAGACAATGAACGTTCAATAGAATCGAACGTGTCGATTTAATTGGCGCACTTAATTGGTCGGTTTGAAAGGTCGCCGATAGCGAGACGTAGCTCTGCAGCGAGATCGATTAACGGAAATTCCAAAGTCGTCGCGTTTCGAGCTTAAGAGTCGACTTGCCGAGAAGCGTGTTTCTTCCGTTTATTTCCATTCCATTTTCCCGCGCGTCGCACCGTCCCTTTCTCCATGCTGCCTCGTGCTGCACCGGCTGCACCGTCGCCGATGCCTTCCACCCGGCGTGGAGTTACGCCCTTCTGCGACGAGCGATGCGTGCTGCGTGATGCCGGCTGCGTACGTACCTACGTACGTACGTATGTCCGGAGGTCGCCGGAGGTCGCCGTGGCGCGGTCGAATGTTTTCTATCCGGTCAGTACCGTTCGGGAGAGAGGATGCGGCGTAGGTGGGCGTTCGGGGATCGATCCCCGACTCCGTTCCCGTGACGTCACTCGTAGGGAAGATAGAAGGAGAGAGGAAGACGCCGGGAAGGGCGAGGCGGGAAGGGGGTCAAAGGGGAGGATATAGCCGGGACTCTCCGGGTGTCCCAGCGACGTACCCCTCTCTCTCTCTGATGGTGCTGCCACTGCTACTGCTGCTGCTGGTGGCTGCTACCGCTGCCGGTGGCTGATACCGCTGCTGTTGCCGCTGCTGCTTCTGCTGGTGCACCGTGTGAAACGACGTGTAGCCGGCGGTCGTAGTGGTGGTTTGTATCCCACCGTCTCCCACACTCAGCCCTCGCGAGCGGGCATCTTTTTCGAAAAGTACTGATCGATCGCGACCTTCGTCGTCGAGAGTCGTCGCGGCCGACAAGTACGCGTCGATCGAGCCGTAGAACAAGTCGCGGTTGGTGACGTCTCGGCTGGTAGTTAAGGGAGGATTTCGCCGGGTCCGAGAGAGAGTACACCCCGAGAGCCGGTGGTAGTGGTGGTGCTAGTGCTGCTGCTGCTGCTGCTGCTGTTGCTGCTGCTGCCGCCGCCGCTACCGCGTAACCTCCTGTGAAACAACGTGTAGGTAGTGGTCGTCGTTGTCGTCGTCGTCGTCGTCGTCGTGGTGGTGGTGTGTCTTGTCCGTCAAGTTCGTCCCCCCGTCCGAATGTCTGTCCCGGACCATCGACCGTGATCCTCTTAAGCGCGGGCGACTGTCACCGGGGCCGTCTTCGTCATCGACGTACCTGATCGTAACGATAACCGGTAAAATAGCCGACCATCTTGATTGTGGTTCCGCTGCGGCACAGTGCGGAACAACGTGCCGCCCGGTCCCTACCACCTCCGCGTCTCGATTG